AAGATATAGCTAAAATTAATATTTAAACTTTTATTAAGAATTTTAAAAAACACAGGCAAATTTGCCTGTGTTACAGATGAAGGGATAGTAGAATATATTATATATTTTATTTATAAATTATGATTTGTACAATAAAAAATTACTAGTTGACTAAGTTATTTCTTTGAATTTCTTATATTATTTCATTAAAATTATTTTATTATTTTATTAAAATTCTTCTATATTATTTTTATTAAATTTCTTCTACCATATTACTGCGCAGGAGTGAAATTATGAATTTCAGCCCGAATTAGGCTTAATTCGGGCCGAACCTCAAAATAATGCTCATGTGATTATTATATAACAATACAGTATATAGTTTAATTATAAAATCACAAAGATTTAATTTTTTTAAGTCATAAGATTTTTGAGCAAATACTTCAAACTTTTATTAATCAAAGAAAAAATAAACATTGCTTAATAAATAAAAATGTTATAATGAGTATTTGAATATGTTGAAAAATCTCAACCTGCTATATAATCCAAGTTTAAATATTAGCTTAGTTGAAAAACTTTATTGAAATTCATAATTTTGGTTCTGATTCTAATCAACATAATATAGCACAAAAGAAGAAGAATAATAATATATTCTATTGAACTTAAAAAATAACATTATAGCACGTTTGTAAAATTTTGTTAATTTTTGTCCCCAAATTTAAGTTTTGAAAACAAAATTTATTATCGATTTTTTAATGTAGAATCCAAAAAGAAAATTATTGTCACTCTAATCTATAATAACAATGTGTTTAACCCATCTTCCCACTCTTTAACACATTTAAATTTATTATAATAATGCACTTTAATATGGAAATTATTGACTAACTTAGCAAAAATTACTATTTATGTATTAGCAGTCAAATTTTGGGGTATTTTACAAATGCACCATAATGAGTATATTAATTATTTATTAATACTAATCTAATTATTAATGTAAAGAAAATTTTTAAATCTCTTCAAAAGATTTTTTTAGCAATGATTACTATTAAATAATATATCTAAATTAACTTGCTTTATAATTGAAAACCATTAAAATGTTTGTAAATTAGCAATTCTAAATGTTAAAAGAAATCATGAATACATTCAAAATAAGATGCAAAGTATAGCATGAATAAATATTTGAACCTGGTGAATTTGTAAAAAATTCAAAAAATTCATATAAAAAGCTAAAAAAGTAGCAAAAATCATTGCCTTGCAAAATTCTTCAAAAAAAGCTTGACTGTTATTGTTATCAGGTTGCAAGCAAATTTGGAATCCTTGATAACTGGTACCTAGCAAGTGAGTTTGAACTATTGGAACTTCTAATTACACTGAACTTGATATGATAACACAATTTTACTATGGCAAGCTGAATTTAAACAAAACTGTTATAATCTTCAAGTCAAATTAATAGTAAAACTTTGAAGTAAGCATATGGACCAGTAAACAGTTGCCATATTTTTTGCGATGTTCTTCAGGAAATTGATTCTTTTTTGATTCTTTTGCACTGTAAATATTGACTTGGCTGCTAAGTGATCCAATCCAAACTGATAGATTGCCAGTCCATCCTAAAACTAGGTCAGTTCTGTCTTTTTTGTGACAGACTGAAAAACCTGCCTGTCCTGATAAAATTTAATCTGATTCTGCGATTTTTGCAATATTTGATCTAGTTAGCATGAATTGTTGTAAAGAACATATATAGCCTGATTTTTGTGATTTTATTGGATTAGATTATGAGCACTATTATAATATACAGAACAAGTGTAAATAGGGTACAATACAACTTTGAGTTCAGATAAAGCTAAAATTTATAATCAATATTTGTATATAAATTTTCAGAAAATCAAAGTATATGAATCATAAATCAGCACAAAAAGAAATCAATAGTGATACGGGTCAATGAAAAAATCATGGACTGGGGTTGATCTTAAAAAAGCTCGGGCCAGTCGATCGGGCCGAACTTTTTTGCTAATATAAATTTTTCTAACAAGAATTAATCTCAATATCTATATCAAATGTGTAGAAAACCATCAGGCTGTTCCTTGCCAAATTCTAGTATATTAAAATTATTTGGTTTTTATTCTTTTTGTCTTTAATTATAATGCGATATATTTTATGTTGATTAATTGTCTATGCACCGGAAATGTCAGGCATTTCTATTTCTTATTTTAGTTATTTGCTAATTTATCATCTAAATTAGCCAACTAACGAATGCCTACATTTTTTTAGATTATTAGCTGATTTTTAGCCAATTTTTTAGCCAGTATAATAGAATTGGTTCTAGTACTTCTTTTATCGACTAACCGGCCCACAAAAGTGCGGCTAAGGGTCAACCAACCCATCGGCCCGGCTGTTGGGCCGGGGCCAGCCTGTATTACTAGAAATTAATAATAGATACGTAGATTATTTCAAATATTTTAATAAATAATATTGATTGAATCGACTTGAATAAAAGATTGCTTATCGATTATACCAGCACGGATAATAGGTAAACTCTCGGTAAAATAAGGGCCCGAAGGGCCCTTATATAACCGAAGTTCTGCTCAGTGGAAAATAAGGGTGTTGTTCTTCATTTAAGTATTTTGCAGATCAGTATAGTATAGGTGGCAGATTAGTATAGTATAGCGATAGGCCGATTTTTAAATCTATACTATACGGACCACGTATTATATATATGAACGTTAGTTTCTATAATTTTGCAGATTCGTATAGTATAAATTTGAAAAATTGGCCTATACTATACTGATATGCTTACCTATACCATACTGATACGTATGCTATAATTTCTCTTCATTTTGTATGTCATATAATTTGTAGTGGTGATTTTTGCATCTTCATACAATATTGATAAACGAGATCAGTATAGTTTTTAAAATAGGTATTTTACACCATCTTATCATATAATTATGTCAATTAACTATCTAGATATTCTGTAATTTCTAAAATAAACCATTCCGTACGATCTGCTATTAGATATTTTATACATTTTATACTCATGCTGTACGGATTTGGTCATCATGATTAGTGCTTGGATCCGGATTACAAAATCCGGATGAACGAAATTATTTTTGAAAAGCGGATAATAAATCTGATTTTTATCTGGATATTATATATCAATCAATATCAGCCAATCAGAGAACTTCAACGTGGCTTTGATCGTTTTTTTTTAAATAATTTGATATATTATTTTTCTAAGATAATCGGAAGAATTGATATTATAAATGTGGCAAAAACTGTTTTTATGCCATAGTTTCTATTGCATCTCTATTTAATATATACACATGACCAAATTATTCTAAGTCGCATCCTAATTGTAATTTAAGTATGTGCTTTACCTCTGATTGAAATCTATCTGATTCAAAATCCACTTGTCATAATTCTGAATAGAGCTATCTGATTTTGAATTTCTTAAGTGAGTTACTCGGCTTAAGAATATATAATTAGACAATATACTAATTCTAACCTAATCTTATTATTTCATAAGCCGGACAGCCCTGCTTAAGGATTCTAGAACTGGGTAACCTGCTTCTGTGTCAAATAGATTCAAATTCAGGGTGCAAATCTAATTTTTAATCGATTATATTTTAACAAGGATCGGGTGACTGAATTTTAGCTTACCGGTTACTATAATATATTATAATAATAATTTAATAATAATATCCGTTTATTAAGAGGATATCTATCCGGATATCCGGTTAGATATCCGGATCCGAGCACTACTTATATCATGAAAAATTCGGCCTGTAGATCCTTTCCGACTAAAATCCTTTTTACTGTAAAATTTTTTTATTTATATATTTTATAATAATATTATTTTTATATTATATATTATATACATATATATATTATTTATTTATATAATATAATCGCCGTCATGAGTGTGTCCATTCTTAATTATCTGGTTGGGTAAAAAAAGTACCTTAACTAATAATAGAATATGTCATTGTATATCACAACACCACAAAAACACTAATCAATGAATCTACCCCCTAATGTGACTTAACCTAATCTAAATAACCCTAACCCCTAACCTTAACATCCCAATTGGATAAAAATCACGAGGGGGTAAAATTTTTTGTGGGTGAGCTACGACACTTGTATATCACAGACATATCATATACAGTCTCAGATCCGATTGATTAGCTTTCCCATATATGCACATAAACTAATAATTCATGAAAATTGATTAACTTCTTATATCGATATATGATTGTCGTAATGAAAACCCATAATTCTAAAATTAAATTTTATAATAGTAATTAGATATGCATTAGACACCCCAGTCCGTCATGGCAAAATCTTTGGCTCGGCTTCACAAATATTGTAATACAAATTAAGCTAAGGTTACTCTGATATCTATTGTAAATGTATAATGTATCATCCTTAATATGAAACTGGAAATTATGAATTTACTTTTTGCATCTTAGCCAAGTTCAAAATAAAATTAGCATATTTATGTATGACAATTAACGTGAAACAGGTTCTTTAATGAATATATAACTGTAGATATGTAATTAAAATTTTCTTAAGTACACCATGTCAACTACAATCCCCTATGATCCGAAAACAGTCGCCTTGTTGGTCATTGATATGCAAGTGAGTTATAACAAATAATTTTAACTATAAGTAGCTGCGCAACATTGTCACGCTAAACCAGGAACGGACAAATATTAGCTTCATTAAGAAATGTTGGACAACCCAACACGGAACAGTTATATGAGTTATAGTTTTGAACTCAGCTAAATAAATATCGGGCATTTCAAGAACACAGAACCTAGTGATCATCACATCACATATGAAATCATGCAATGACATCATGCCTAAACTATCCTATCACCTAACCTTAACACTAACCCTAACTTAGGTTGAACGTTTAATCGTGTGATGTGATCAAATATCATTGGGTTCCTTGTTCTTGAAACTACTCTAAATAACGGGTATACAACTAAATACAGCATAGCTATATTGATATGAGACACTACAATTTAAACAAACAAAAAATCCAAGATTTTATAAAGTGTAAATACCTCTTTAAGAAACATATCATAACAATCCACTACGATCTTCTAATGCTAACCTTAATAATACATAGCGCCGGAACAGATATTAAAAATAGGGGTATCTTACACCCTATTCCGTTCATAATAATCTGCATAATTTAGAAATGTTCTTGGCAGATGATAATTACACAGACTAATGTGGATATGAAGCTAAATGAAACAGCTCATATGAAATACTTAGACCAATAAGACCAATGAACAATCACTAAACTTAGACTAAGGGTGGTGCTCTCAATGTGATTAGATAGCTATCGATATCATGCATATGTACTACGATTAATTCTGTAATTGAAGCGATCCCTACTGTAAATTTGCTAGACCTGACAAAAAAGACGGCTTCAAAAATTTTTTTATCGCGATAATGAACTTACTTACCGGTTAAATTACTTTCCACCAATAAAAAATCGAGTTCCGACCTATAATTTATGTACTTGAGAGAACCTTAAATTATGTGAAAAAAAACTGAAACGAGAAATTAATTAATTACATATATTTATTGATAATGTTCAATTGATTAAATAAGAAAATACTTGAATGAAATATCATGTAAAACCTGACATTACATGAAAAAAAGTTTTGTAGACCAATTTCAACCCATTAAAGATTTTTAGAGCTGTTGTTAACGCTTGTGTGGCCTCTTTAAATACTTTATTGTTTTAAAATCATTATTACTGTAGCAACGTAATAATATTTAATGCAAAGCTTATCGATATTATTTACCATAACTTGAGCCATGGCCAAGTCATGCTCTAGCCATAACACAAGCCATGGCTTCAATAATTATGGTTTAACCTGGATTCAGTTGCAGCTGATGCTAAGTCAAAGCTTAAGTTGCAGCTCATCGGCTTCGGCTTAGCTCCATTGTGCAGCTAAAACCGGCTTCAGAATAAGCCGTTAATGGCTCTGAAAACTTTCTGGCATTTGGTTAGTTCAATTCTGAAGGACAATAATAAAAAAAAAGTATTGATCGTCATTCACTTTAATTGAGACAAAAAACAAATACTGACAAATTTGGAAATCTCATAATATGTGATACTGTAACACAATATTGTGGCATCAAGATCACATGAAAAAGCAATCCAATCAGATTAACGGATTTGGATACACCATTTCACTTGCCGTTAAATCATACTCAATAGAAATCTTTTCGACATGAGATTATTGATATAATTCCAAATGTGCAATCTATTGTAAAAGCTTGTCACAAGAAAGAGATTCCTGTTTTTTGGACTAAACGTGGTCATAGAAATCTAGAACTTGACGGAGGTGCTGTTGGAAGATGGGTATGTAAAATGAATTAAATGATTTATCTTGATTTAAATTTTGTATATCTACAGTAATTCTATATGTTGAGCATATTGATCCACTTCTTGATAAAATGTGTAACATTGTGTATATACGAAAAAAATTAAGATTAATAGTCTAACAAACAACTCAGCCCATCAATATAGAGTTTGGACTGGGTGTATACCTTTATGGAAAGTAGGCATAATATAATTATATTGTAGCACTTTTAAATTGTGGCCCTGATGTTCATTCATAACAAAGAAAGTCTGAAAATTCTCAATATTCTCTATTATATTTTGAAATTACAATAGTATCTTTAGTATTACATTCAAATTGGTAGTTAGTTAGGAAACTAATATCAAAATTGAGTTTAATTTCTAGAAAAGATGACTAGGTTCAGTTATAAAAATTTCAGATTTCTTTATGATGGACAAGCATCGAGGTCATGGTAATTTAAAAAGCGATATGAAAAGAAAATTAATCAAGAGTGACAAACTCATCAGGAAAATTTTTAAATTAGTTGGCAATCGACAGAAAGAAATGCCAATCGATAAGCAGCACCCCTGCTGATTACCAGCATTACAGATTAGAATCAATTGACAATAAAGCTGCTAATTAAAATCGATTAGAATCGCTTTGATTAAATTGGTTGATATCAAACCAAAATTAAATCGATTATTTTTAATCAATTGTGCATCGATTAGCTACCAATATCAATTATTGTCAATTTTCCTAATCGATGGCAATCGCCTCTGCAGCTGGTAATCGATATCTGCTCTATTTAAAATTTTTCTGATGTTGGCATTTCGCTAATTCAACAGACGTAAAATTATATTCTAAAGTGATGTAAACTAATCAAATCTTTTGCCTAGATGAAATTATTTTATTTTGGATACTACCATTTTTATTGTGAATTAAATTAAAATAAACCGAAATACTTCTCACTGGCAAAAATTCTTTTACTAATGAAAAGTTTCTGGTTTGAAAAGTCATTTTGCCTGCACGATAATTCTGGATAATTGGATTAAGCGAAATTTATTGAGAAAACATAATTAATATATAAGCAACCTTTTAACATAGTTACATTTCTCATTAAATTCTCATTTATCTAATTACTCAGGATATCTATTAATTCATAGAATTCTAGATATCTCATCCAAGTCCAAATTTTATATAATAATACACAATGATGAATCTTTGTGGTTTAATACATATCTTTTTTTTTAAAGTGGGGTTCTATATGGGGATCTGAAGAATTAGAAATTATGAAAGAATTGAAGCCATTTATTATGGTCAGTAATTAATAGTAAATACTACTAAGTCACACTAAACTACTTTATTGTTGATATAACTTTGCCCTTTTCAGCAATCTCCTACTTTGATTGATGTTCTTGATTTTATAATTAAAAATAAAATATGTTATGAAGCTTTTAACAACACCAAACTCGATTCTCTGCTTATTTTTCTTGGAATTAAAGCACTTATCATATCTGGTGCTAAGACAACTTTGTGTTGCGAAGTGACAGCAAGAAGTAAGAACATTACCAATAAATATAAACCAATTTATTTTTTATTTATATTGTTTAAATTTTAGGAAGCTTTGATTAAGATTATAATATTTGTTTTTCTCAAAGATGCAACCGCTACAGGAAATGAAAAAATGCATGAAGTATGAAAGTTTATTGATATTTTTTTGCCTTTCTGAAATTACTAAACTACTAAATAACTTTTTTGTATTTCAAAAAAGGCAATATTATTAAATCTAGAATATGGTGTGGTCAAAGTTTCTACCGTTGCTGAAGCAATTGAATGGTTGAACAAGCATTAATACATTTAGAGAATGACTATTTCCACCCCCAAATTTGCTAATGCCACCCCCCTGCAGATTTAGCCTTTTTTTTAAACTTTGAGCAAAGATATCTTGGTAACTACCAGGCCAAATTTGACAAACATTTTTTTTTTTTGAATTC